TTCTGCCTCGTGATTTAATCTTGTTCATACCAAATCTAAACACAAGATGCTTTAAGTTTAGACAAACCTTTTTATGAAGAGTCTTGGAATAGATTTAATCAATATAGGGAAGATGCTAATGAAGCTATTAACTTGATGAGAAATGCAGGTAATGGCATTGTGTATTTGGAAGATGAGTCTTTTACAATTCCTGAAAGTGGGTATCAACTGTATGGGAGTCCATATACTCCAAGATTTTATGACTGGGCTTTCAATGGAGATCGTGGATCATTCTTAAAGGGTAAGGATATACGCAAATGTTTACATAAAAATTATATTGTCCAAAAGATAAAAGAAAAAAAAAAAATTGTAATTTTAATCCCTTAAAGAAAAGTGGTCAAAAATACCACCTACTACGCATATCCTTATGACACATGGGCCACCGTCCGGCATTTTGGATCTCACTGCAAGTGGAGAAAGTGCTGGATGTGTAGATCTTTTACAACGAATTCAAGAAATTAAACCTTTAGTTCATGTGTTTGGTCATATTCATGAGGGTTATGGTGTCTTGGAAAAGAAATGGGAAGCAGAAAATAATGAAGATAAAAACTCAACTATTTTTATTAATGCGTCATCGGTAACTCGAGGATATAAACCCAAAAATAACGCGATCGTGTTTGATTTACCTCCACTAAATTGATTTTTATTTTTCTTTACGTATTATAAAATGACAATATGTACATATTTGATTAGTTAACTCTGAGTCAAATGTTGTTCAATTTAAAAAGTTTTTTTTATACCACTGCATTATAGTTATAACACAAAAAAAAACTTGCATTCCATATTTTGTACTGCATACGCATACGTAGAACGCTTAATAAACTTGGGAATTCCTACATTATCGAGCAAGTTATTTCCTGTTTCTTGGCATATATATATGTACTTAAAAAAATGTGTATTATATATATATTTATATATAAATTAATTTTTAGTGTAAGAAATCTTCGATATAAGGAGCAAAAAAAATCTAAGTTTCAACTAAAATTTATAACAAAAAGCTTCTATAAAAAATATTTTTGTTTTGTGTATATTATTAAACAATACAGTAATTCTTTACCT